GGGGGCGGGGAAGGGGGGGGGGGGAGAAGCGTCCGGACTGGAAGGGGGGGGGGGGGGAGAAAGCGTCCGGACTGGAAGGGGGGGGAAAGCGTCCGGACTGGAAGGGGGGGGGGGGGGAAAGCGTCCGGACTGGAAGGGGGGGGGGGGGAAAGCGTCCGGACTGGAAGGGGGGGGGGGGGAAGCGTTCCGGACAGGAAGGGGGTACAAGCCATCTAGCCCGTACCTGTCACCCCGGCACTGAGAGGACAGAAAGCGACAATCGCGGCTAAACCGCACTGCGTTTGAGTTGCCAATAAAAATAAATGGCGCCCAAACACGCGTTTTGCCGTGACTGCAGTGTGATTTGGAATTGCGGCGATTCTGCCCGTGATCCGACATCTCCAGATGTGCACGGGGCCTCAGAAGAAAACCCCCCACCTCCGGGGTGTTCATGAGAGGGGCGTTGTGGCAGAATAAACACCTGACGCACCCACGAACACGCTTGGACGCGATGGACTTCATGCGTCTCAATGTCCACAATTATTATTCTGGCGAATGAAATGAATTAATGGCCAAACGCTTGACGTCTTTACAAAAACACAGCTTTTTCAAACGCGTTCTGGAGGCCCTAAACTGTAATTATTGTAGCTGCATGGAGTATGTAGGCAGACTCCATGCAGACATGACCTCATACAATTTCTAGAAGTGGCGTGTGCCCCACAGACATCATATGAGGTAAAGTCTGCATGGAGTCTGCATGAACCCGCAGTCCCCTCATAGTGCTGAGTTCTGTGGGGACATTTCACCTCAGGAATGACATTTTCAGTCGGTGACGTCACTCCAGGATTCCCTCACACATTCGCCATTCCTTCACATTTCTAGTACAGACTTCAGTAAGACGAACCTAACATTCACCTCAGGCCTGAATCATACTTCACGACAGTCCCCATCCCCCACACACCGGGGTGAGATGCCGTATATCAGGAACCTCTGTCGTTGAGTCCCCGCCTTCTCCTTTCCCACCAGCCAATCAGCGTACCGCCGCTGACACTGCGCCCGGCAACATCTTCCCGCAGCCCGCCCCCCTCCAGGCGACCCCCACACACAGCCCGTACTTGTTTGTTCAGTCCGCAGATGGTTCATCTCCCGGCTTCTTCCTGATTGGCCTGCAAATGGGCTGGGCGGGGCCCGGAGCTACAGCCACACCTCTTGGAAGTAGATAATAAGAGTGAGTAGTGTGAGAGGGGAGAGTGAACAGAGGGGAGCTGAGCTATAGAGGTTGCATTGTGTGCAACTGCTAGGAAGGGGGACCGAGGAGCTGACATCCGGGGGAGAGGTGACACCATACACAGGGGGGCTCCGCGTTGTCCTGTCCTGCACGGGGGGATTCTGCTCTGACTTCAAGAAGGTGGACACTGCTGACCTTCCACTGTGCCAGAGGTAACCTGTGTGTGTGGGTGCAGGGGGGGGGGACCTCAGTGTTACCAGTGCAGGGGGGGACCTCAGTGCCACAGTGCAGGGGGGGGACCCTCAGTGTCACCAGTGCAGGGGGGGGGACCCTCAGTGTCACCGGTGCAAGGGGGGGGGGACACCTCTGTGTCACCGGTGCAAGGGGGGGGGGACACCTCTGTGTCACCGGTGCAAGGGGGGGGACACCTCTGTGTCACCGGTGCAAGGGGGGGGGACCCTCAGTGTCACCGGTGCAGGGGGGGGGGACCTCAGTGTTACCAGTGAAGGGGGGGGGGGACCCTCAGTGCCATCAGTGCAGGGGGGGGGGAAACCTCAGTGTTACCAATGAAGTGGGGGACCCCTCAGTGCCATCAGTGCAGGGGGGGGACCCTCAGTGAGTGGGGGGGACGGATCAGTGCAGGGGGGGGACCCCAATCAGTGCCATCAGTGCATCAGTGCAGGGGGGGGTGGGCCATCAGTGCAGGGGACGGACGGACCCTCAGTGCCATGCAGGGGACGGATCAGTGCAGTGGGGGACGGGGGACCTCAGTGCCATCAGTGCAGGGGGGGGGTGCAGTGGCGGGACCCCTCAGTGCCATCAGTGCAGGGGGGGGGGACCCTCAGTGCCATCAGTGCAGGGGGGGACACCCTCAGTGCCATCAGTGCAGGGGACGGGACGGGTGCCGATCAGTGCAACGGTACCCTCAGTGCCATCAGTGAAGGGGGGGGGGACCCTCAGTGCCACCAGGGGACATTGCCATCAGTGCAGGGGGGGGGGAACCTCAGTGTTACCAATGAAGGGGGGACCCTCAGTGCCATCAGTGCAGGGGGGGGGACGGACAGTGCCATCAGTGCAGGGGGGGACGGACCCTCAGTGCAGGGGGGGGGGACGGACCCTCAGTGCCATCAGTGCAGGGGGGGGGTGCCACGGACCCTCAGTGCCATCAGTGCAGGGGGGGGACGGACCCTCAGTGCCATCAGTGCAGGGGGGGGGGGACGGACCCTCAGTGCCATCAGTGCAGGGGGGGGCACGGACCCTCTCAGTGTGCCATCAGTGCAGGGGGGGGACGGACGGACCCTCAGTGCAGGGGGGGGACGGACGGACCCTCAGTGCAGTGCAGGGGGGGACGGACCCCTCAGTGCAGGGGACCCTCAGTGCCATCAGTGCAGGGGGGGGACGGACGGACCCTCAGTGCCATCAGTGGGGGGGGGACGGACCCTCAGTGCAGGGGGGGGGGGGGACCCTCAGTGCAGGGGGGGGGGCGGGACCCTCAGTGCCATCAGTGCAGGGGGGGACGGACCAGTGCCATCAGTGCAGGGGGGGGGACCCTCAGTGCCATCAGTGCAGGGGGGGGGGACCCTCAGTGCCATCAGTGCAGGGGGGGGGGGGGGACCCTCAGTGCCATCAGTGCAGGGGGGGGGGACCTCATCAGTGCAGGGGGGGGACCTCAGTGTCCATCAGTGCAGGGGGGGAAACCCTCAGTGTTACCAGTGCAAGTGGGGGGGGGGGGGGACCTCAGTGTTACCAATGAAGTGGGGGGGGACCTCAGTGTTACCAATGAAGTGGGGGGGACCTCAGTGTCACCAGTGCAGGGGGGGGAACCTCAGTGTTACCAATGAAGTGGGGGGGGGACCTCAGTGTTACCAATGAAGTGGGGGGGACCTCAGTGCCATCAGTGCAGGGGGAGGGGGAACCTCAGTGTCACCAGTGAAGGGATGACCTCAGTGTCACCAATGAAGTGGGGTGGACCTCAGTGTCATCAGTGCAGGGAAGTGGGGGGGACCTCAGTGTCACCAGTGCAGAGGGGGACCTCAGTGTCACCAATGAAGTGGAGTGGACCTCAGTGTCATCAGTGCAGGGGGGTGGGGGGGACCTCAGTGTCACCAGTGCAAGGGAGGCTTAAGTGGCACCAGTGCAGGAGGGGGACAACCTCAGTGTTACCAGTGCAGGGGGGCTCAGTGTCACTGTTGCAGAAGAGGGACAACTTCAGTGTTACCCATGAAGTGGGGGCCCTAAGCATCACTGGTGCAGGGGAGGGGGTGGGATTTCAGTGTCACCGGTGCATGGAGGTGGGAGGTTGTCTTTGGGGAGCAGTGTACCCCCAATAAGCATGCAAAAGTGGAGAGACGTGATGGGTCAGCAAAAGATGGGGTGGGGGGGGCACAGCATATTATACAGTCGAGTGTTCTAGGGATAGACATTTTGGTGCACAACCTTGATTTACAACTAGGCAAAACCATCCCACCATGGTGTGACTATGACCCCCCCCATATTATACAGATGGGGGGGGTCACTGAGAAGAATAATTATATAGCGGGTTACAGGTTGAGATACTAAAATACCCCGATATACAGGAGGACGGGGCTCCTGGGAATAGTCCTTATGTGGGGGATTGCAGATACTGGTACTGAAACACCCCAATATACAGTGTGTGTGTGTGGGGGGGCTGAGAATGATTAGGATGAAAGCAATGAAGGTGGGGGGGGGGGGGGGAGGTATATTCAGAATAGTTATTATATATATATATATATATAAGTCTAAAATCAAGGCACTGAAATACCCCAGTATACAGGTGGAGCGGGGGAGGGGGGTCCTGGAATAGGATTATTATGTAGAGGGTTGCAAAATCGGGGAGGGGGGGGGGGGGGGTCACTGAGAATACGTATGAATGACGTGAATCAGATATAAATGCCCCTGGGTGCAATAGGCTGTAGACCTTTGCATATTACTGGGGGCTTCTGGGTGAAAAAAAAAATGGCCTTGTTCTGCAAGAGGGGACCCCTGAGAGCAAAATAAACTTCAGATATTGGGGTACACAGAATCCATGCTTGGATGAGGGGGGAATCTTTGGAGGTAAAAAAAAATGCATTGACCCCTGGTGGTAAGATGTCCTCATTATGAGGGGGGGGGGGCATGCAAAAACAACTCTAGATCCAGAACCCCCCCCCTTGCCAATCTGCAGCCTGCTGCTCACACTGACATCCATGTGTGAAACTTTTTCACCCATGAAGATCAGCTCCCCCCCCTCCCATTGGTTGGCTGATGACGCGTCTGGTATCTCCCAGAAAGAAATTAGTTATTAGCGCACTTTGCCCCTTCCCCATCACTCATTAGAGGGGGGGGGGGGGGCTGTGGTGTATTGCGTCTCTTTATCAATCACATGGTCCGTATTCTGCCTCGGCCTATCAATCATTGGCTTTGCTCTGTACGGAGCGCAGCTTTGACATTGAACTTTACGCCTCATTCATTTTATGTGCGTGTCCCAATCACTTCCTAATTACCGTGACATTGTCTCAGCGCCGTGTCGCAATGCTGAGTGCGCTCCATCAGGGTCACCGATCAGGAGACATAGAAGGTGCCAAGGGTCCCGGTGATGTGCCGAATACATGGAACCCACAGCAGAGAGGTTCAGCTCTGATCAGTCGGAGTGCTGAACTCTGATTGGCTGCTATAGATCGCTGCATATTGCGTGTTCAATAATCCGGAGTGCGTTCTCGCTCAGTAATGTATCTTCTAATTTATAAACATTCTTTATTCTTCTAGGTGAAATAAACCGCCGTGGTGCCGCACCATGAAGTTCGCCAGGTTCCTGCTGAAAAAACGCAGCGCTGGCCAATGCGCCCAAACAGATCGAGAGGTTCAGCCGCTTCTCTCCATCTCCTCTTTCCATGAAGCAGTTCCTTGACTTCGGTAAGTGCCATCACTTTCCTTTGTAACCATTTCCTGACCGGCCATGGTATATAAATGGCCGGACGGTGGCACTGCAGGGTCTGGTGGCTGTTTATAAACCGCTTCCCCGCACCCTGCTTGTGCGCGCTCCCCGGGAGAGCGCAGCACCGCGATCCGGTGCCTGCGGACACAGTGAAACACCGATCGTCGGACGGGACCTCTGTACGAGGTCCCGATCATGTGATCACTGATTGGCCAATCAGTGATCACATACAAAGTAGTAAGCAAGATGTCACTTCTGACATCATTGCTTACTACGTGTGAAATCTGTGAATGATCAGAGGTCACATGGTACAAGGCTATTCACAACAGCCTTGTACCATGTGACAAGCTGTGACCAATCACAGCTCACTCAGTAGTTCTCCATGGCTGCAAGAATGCAGACAGAGAAAGCGAAATGATTGCTTTTACATCCTATATAGGATGTAAAAGCAATCAGTGTAAATAAAAAAAAAAAAATAATCACCCCCCCAAAGTAGTGGAAGGGTGACAGTATGTAAAAAAAATAAATAAATAAATAAATAAATAATAAAAAAAAAAAAAAATGTTTAAAAATGTTATAAACTAGTTTGGCTTATTTTTGTTTTTTTTACTAAAAAGATAAGGGAATAAACTTTGGCCAAGATTTATGATGAAATATTATTTATTTGCAAAAACACTTTTTGTTTCAAAATTTTTGGACATTTTCATTTACATAGCAAAAAAAAATAAAAATCGCAGCGGTGAATAAATACCACCAAAATAAAGTTTTATCTGTCTCAAAAAAATGGTAAATTCATATGGGTACAGTGTTGCATGACCGCGCAATTGTCATTCAAAGTGTGATAGCGCTGAAAGCTGAAAATTGGCCTGGACTGGAAGGGGGTGAAAGTGTCCGGACAGGAAGTGGTTAACACATACCAGGCATTCTGGCTTCTAACTGGTTTCAGTTTTCCGGTTGGTTTCATTTCTAAAGCCTGGTTCAGATTTGTTCATGCGCCTTTCCACGTGCGAATCACGGATAGAGCAGTCCATTCATTTCAGAAATGTTGGGGAAGATGTCCCCAAATATATATACACATACAGGCGTACCTCGGTTTACGAATTGAATGCGTTCTGCGGGACTTTTCGTATTGTGAAAAACTTGTCAACTGAAACTTGGTTTCCCATAGGAAGGCACTGAAAACCAATTAATCCTTTCCGGAGGTCAGCAAAAGCAAAAAAAAGTATTTTATCTGTTCAAAACTCTTCATAAAAAGTGCACTTTAACCATTTCAATACCGGGCAATTTTACACCTTCCTGCCCAGGCCATTTTTCAGGTTTCAGCGCTCTCACACTTTGAATGACAATTGCGCGGTCATACAACATTGTACCCAAACTAAAATTTTAGCATTTTCTTCACACAACTAGAGCTTTCTTTTGGTGGTATTTAATCACCGCTGGGGTTTTTATTTTTTGCTAAATTAACAAAAAAATACCAAAAATTTTGAAAAAAAAACACGTTTTTCTTTGTTTCTGTTATAAAAGTTTACAAATAATTGTTCTTCATAAATTTAGGCCGAGATGTATTCTGCTACATGTCTTTGGTGAAAATAACCCAAATTAGGATGTATTTTTTAGTTTGTAGGAAAGTTATAGAGTTCACAAACTATGGTATAGATCTGAATATTGATCAATCCTGAAGTACTGACAGCCAATCTAATTTCTTGAGGTCCAAGAATGTCAGAATAGTACAGATATCCCCCAAATGACCCCTTTTTGCAGAGTAGACAGTCCGATGTACTTCTTAAGAGGCATGGCGAGTTTTTTGAAGTTGTATTTTTTGTCATAATTTTTCGGAAAATGAAAAAATGAAAAAAATTATTTTCACTATTTTTTTTTTTTTTTTACATACGGTCACCAGTGCAGTACAGCGTCATCATATAACTGGCATGGCGGTGATCAGGGACACTGACTGGTGACAGTATGGAAAAAAAAAAAAAAATATAATATATATATATATATATATATATATATATATATATATATATATATATATATATATATATATATATATATATATATATAAAAATATAATATATAATTTTTTTTTTTTTTTTTTTTTACATATTTTACTATGACCAAAGTAGTACAATGTTACCATAGTAACATTGTACTACTTTGGGGAAGTGATCAGTATTATTTTTTTTTTTTTGCTTATAGCAAAGAATTACTTTGCAATAAGCAAGCATTTACCTGAATGAAATCAATTCATTCAGGGTTTTTTTTTTTTTTGTGCTTAGCTGTGATTTGGTCACAGCTAATCACATGACATGTGCATGTGATTAGCTGTGACCATTCACAGCTAGGCACTAGTATACAATGGATGGCATGAATGAAGCCATCCATTGTATACAACTGTCATGTGACCTGCTGTGATTGGTCACAGCGGGTCACATGGTACCAGCAACGGGGGTCGGTACTCAGATCTGTCATCGGCCGTGTCCGAGGTACACGGCCGGTGACAGATTGCGCGGCTCTGCATTAGCGCAAACTGCGCATGTGCGGGAGCACGCCAAATGGCGTGCACCCGGAATGCCGAAGCACTTTTGAAGCCACCAAACGGCCATTGGCCGGGCGGCTAATGGTTAAAGGCATAAATACTGTATAGGGACATAATTATAAATTTGTAAATGCATTGAAAACCAATTAATCTGTTCCGGAGGTAAAAAATGTAAAAAGAAAAAAAGTCTTATTTGTTCAAAAAATCTTTATAAAGTGCACGTTAAAGGCATAAATACTGTACAGGGACATGATTAAAAAATTATTCGTAAATGTGTTGAAAACTAATTAATTCGTTCATATTGCGAAAAAAAAAAATTCATAACCGAGGCATTATTTTCAATGGATTTTCATTTGTAAACCTGTGTATGTGTGTTGGTTTTTATTTTATTTTATTTTATATATATATATATATATATATATATATATATATATATATATATATATATATATATATAATTTTTTTTTTTTTTTTTTCAGTTGCACCACACAGAATCTCATGGTACTTGCAAAAATACGGCATGGGTGATGATGCGTGGGGGTGCTTATAAGAATTAATGTCACACCACCACATGTCTCCTAAAGTGCAGCATCATTTTTTGCCAGGGCGGAATGTGAATTTAGAAATAAAATATAATGTGAAAATATTTTCTTATCCCGGAGTTCAGCTTTAAAGTGTTACTAAACCCACAACAGTACAATCAGTCTGTATATACAGTAAAGCATGCTTGTTATACTCACTGTGGAACTGAAGGGGTTAATCCTCTGCATTGTGTAAAAAGGATGTTTGAACCGGTCTTCTCTGATTCTCCCCTTCTACTGTCCCCAATCTATCTGCTGATAGAACAGCCTTGGGGACAAGCAGCACATGCTGAGTTTGGTGTCTATTGCTAGATATCAGCACTGCCCAGACAGAGGGTCAGGGGTCATGCAGCATCATAGGACAATCAGGGGAGAATGAAAACTCCTCCTACAAGCTTTAACCAGTGCTCTACTGGACGCTGAATTAAGTCAAAAGACTGCTCTGACTGTTGATGAGAATTTCTATTTAGCAATTTATATTTACTAAAATAATTGCATTTCCATGTTCTGTGTACTGTGGGAGACCAGATATAGTGAATGCAGGGTCCTGGGGGAGACCAGATATAGTGAATGCAGGGTCCTGGGAGACCAGATATAGTGAATGCAGGGTCCGGGGAGACCAGATATAGTGAATGCAGGGTCCTGGTAGAGACCGGATCTAGTGAATGCAGGGTCCTGGTAGAGACCGGATCTAGTGAATGCAGGGTCCCGGTAGAGACCGGATCTAGTGAATGCAGGGTCCGGGTAGAGACCGGATCTAGTGAATGCAGGGTCCCGGTAGAGACCGGATCTAGTGAATGCAGGGTCCGGGAGAGACCGGATCTAGTGAATGCAGGGTCCCGGGAGAGAGACCGGATCTAGTGAATGCAGGGTCCCGGGAGAGACCGGATCTAGTGAATGCAGGGTCCGGGGAGAGACCGGATCTAGTGAATGCAGGGTCCGGGGAGAGACCGGATCTAGTGAATGCAGGGTCCGGGGAGAGACCGGATCTAGTGAATGCAGGGTCGTGGGAGAGACCGGATCTAGTGAATGCAGGGTCGTGGGAGAGACCGGATCTAGTGAATGCAGGGTCGTGGGAGAGAGACCGGATCTAGTGAATGCAGGGTCGTGGGAGAGACCGGATCTAGTGAATGCAGGGTCGTGGGAGAGACCGGATCTAGTGAATGCAGGGTCGTGGGAGAGACCGGATCTAGTGAATGCAGGGTCGTGGGAGAGACCGGATCTAGTGAATGCAGGGTCGTGGGAGAGACCGGATCTAGTGAATGCAGGGTCGTGGGAGAGACCGGATCTAGTGAATGCAGGGTCGTGGGGAGAGACCGGATCTAGTGAATGCAGGGTCGTGGGAGAGACCGGATCTAGTGAATGCAGGGTCGTGGGAGAGACCGGATCTAGTGAATGCAGGGTCGTGGGAGAGACCGGATCTAGTGAATGCAGGGTCCGGGGTTTAGTAACACTTTAAGGCACTTCTATGCAGTGCTCCAGGAGATTACTATAGAGGTTATTCAGCATTCAGACACTTGACTGATGGACAGAATGTGAATGCTGCACTATTACTACTGTATACTCCTGTTACTGTTGCAGTACACCCCGTGTATTTTATATATGACGCCTCGCCTGTCATTGGGATGAGTTGAAGCTGCAACAATGATGATTATTCTGTTTATTTCTCAGTCCAGCCTTTTTCCATCTCGGCAAACAAATTTATTGTGATCTGATTTGTAAGCTGGTGCTTGTGAAACATTAAATTGCCATGACGATGATTCATAGTTTTTATTGCTCATGTCAGACAAGCATGAATGATCTAGATGAGACAAGCACATTATAAAGAAGTATATAGGGTGGTATAACAAGACACATA